TTTTTTTTTTTTTTTATATTTTTCATTAATGAATTAATTAATGAATGAATGAATGAATGAATGAATGAATTCATATTTTTCGTTTTTATGTCAACGCGCAAAAGCACTGGAGATTTTTCTCTTCTCGCGATTATAATTTTATTTCTATCGATTCTTTTTTTTTTTTTGCCCCCTATTTTTTTTTTTCTTTTCTTCCATTTTATTTTTTTCATCGTCGCAAAGGCGAAATAATAATAAACGACACACCTACTCTCGATAATCTCACACCGAGTCGAGAATATTACAATACGTTATTACGAATATTTCTTCTTCTTTTTTTTTTTTCTTTTCTTTTTTATTTATTTTTTAATCCTTTTTTTTTGTGTTTTTTTTTTTCTTTTACGTACTTTTTTTTCTTTTTTCTTTTTTTTTTACTTATTTTACGAACGATCGATCAACGTATTTAATCAACTTCTGTCTCTTAAAACCGTATTTTTTCTTTCCTATTGTTTTATTTTTTCCTCTTTCTGTCTTTCTTTTTTTTCCACCACCATCACCACCACCACCCACCTCTTTTTGTTCTCTTTAACAACCGTTTAAAACATGTAATAACAGCACGTCCATTGTGAGGTACGTTAGAAAACTAGTACAAAACTAGCAGCTAGGTACAAAAATGTAATTAATCGTTAATAATGGAGGCCGCCCGGGAAACTGCCAGGGACCAGCTTCTTCCTTTCTTTTTTTTTTCTTTCTTTCTTTCTTTTTTTTCCCCCCCTCCTCTTCCCCCACCACCACCACTTTTATTCCTCTCACTCTCTTTACTCATCCCCTCTTCCCTTTTTTTTATCCATCTAGTTAATCATTTGCGTCGTACCCCCGGGAAATGGTTGCAACCCTTACGGCCCTCCTTTCCGTTCTCCTGCAAAACTCTTCTTTTACTCCTCCCCCCTACTACCACCACCACAACCACCATTCCACCACCACCACCACCACCCTCTCTATTCTTTTTTTCAAAGTTTTTCATTCTCTTGCGCAGCCATGCACGATTTTCTTGCTGTTCTCGCTTTTATATCATATTTCCTATCTCGTATTATTATTTTGTTCTCTTTTATTAATTATTCCATTTGAAGAATCTCGTTTATTCGCTTATGGATAATAATAATAATAATAATGATAATAATGATAATAATAATAATACTGCTCATTTACATTTTCTTTGGCGATTTTACGAGTGCAAAATGGTACGAGTATCACGATTAAGATTATCAGTAAGAACTAGAACACATCCAGAGATTTTATTTTATTTTGTTTGTTAAACCTTTGCACTATTTATACGTCGAGTCCCCACACTTAACGTTTATTACTCTAGTCAAAGTGCATTAAATTGCATAATTTTTCTAATTAAACATTCGAGCATAGGCTATCCAATATTTTGATTAAAACAAAATAATCTATGTTTCATTTTATGTTTAAAAAGAATACTCGATGAAAATGTTTCATCGTTTGATTAATAACGTGACTATCTCGAATCGATATATGCACTCGTGAGTATTATTTGTTTTTATTATTTTTACAAGCTAATTAATGAATTAAAAAGAAAAGAAAAAGAGAACGCATAATCAATTTAACAATTCTCTATTAAATTTCATTCGTTGGAAAATATTGTAAATGTTTTTGACAAGCAGAGCGAGTATGCCATTTTGCGATTGAACGTTCTTTTGCTTTACAGCTCACGTATTAATCATATCTAATTTGTTATTATCGATGGTGTTTCTTTTTTTCTCTTTTTTGTTTTTACTACAAAATATTGAATAGTTTTTTATTTCTTTTCCCGTGCCCCCGCCCCCGCTCCCGCCCCCAACAACTCCTCGATCAAATTGCATTCATCTCGTGCCTATTGATTTATAATTAAATAAAAGAATTTTCCTTTGATTTTTTTCGTTTAAATTTATGCCTGTACATTTTTTTCTATTGTATCGTACTTTATATCTCTCTGGATAAATACACAACACGATGTCGTAAATAAAATCATTTATTATTATTATTTTTATTGCACTTATAAGTGCATTTGCACGTTTCCCGAGTAATATCCTTGATGGATATAACAAAAGAAAAAAAGAAATATTGAAAATATTTTTGTATTTATTTACGACACACGTTTGTGTAGAATCTAAACAGTCTAGGCATCCCTTAACCCTTTAATTATTAATTTTAAATATATCAAAATTTTGTAATGATATGTCCCGAACGGGTTTTAAACATTTTTTGATTGCTCGTCTCTAAGGATTCTTTAGCGTATTATCTAACAAGTTATCCTTGATAACATGTTTCCACGTTTTATCGATGAATGACAAAACGTCTTTTTGAGGAATTTTAATCCGTGCAAAAAAGAAAAAAAAACAGAAAATTAATATCGGAGAAGAAGAAAAAGATCGAGGCGTCTCGAACTTATCGTCATTTTTTTTTTCTTTTTCTTTCTTTTTTAAAGGGTTAATGTTTGTTATAATATATTTTCTTCATTTTTATTATTTTAATTTTTTTTTTCCCATGCACATCGTAATAAAAACATCTTTGAAATCTTCTACAAGTGCCGGATAATTTCATTATCGAAAGAATTTGGGAATGAATTTAATTAATCTGTCGAAAATGAAAGATACTTTGTGTGTGTTTTTTTTTGTGTTTTCTTTTCTTTTCTTTTCTAGGATTGGTTTTTTTTTTAACGCGACGATGTTATTCAGTGCTCCCGTCGAAAGCCTATTTCTAGATATTATATAGCATGATCTATTTAATTTGTGTGTGTGTGTGTGTGTGTGTGTGTGTGTGTATAAGCAAGAAAGTCGTTTATTTTTCCTCCTCGTTTTGTGTTGCACCCCTACAATTATTATATTTTAATATATTTTTATTAGATAATTTTTAATTGTATTTTCTCGAGATTCGTTAAAAAATGTTCAAACGTTTTCAATCGAAGGTTACGATGCACGAAGTGGAAATTTAACGACGAGGGCCGATGGGTTTTAATTTTTGTTATGTCATTGTTGTTGTTTCTCTTTGTATATTCGCACGATATTTCTTTTTTTATTATATATATATATATATATGTATATATGTATATAACGAAGCGATCGATGAAGATTTTATTTTTATATTATTTTCGAAAAGCGCACAACAGGATTTTTATTTGTTTTGCGTGTCGATTATCTAACAATAAGTCGATTGGACGAGAAAAAAACAAAACTTGAGCCAACGGCCGCGCGATTTTTAAAGATTAATTATATTTATTTATTCGCGACACGTTTATAGAGATAAATAGAAAAAAGAAAGAAAAAAAAAACAACAATGAAAAAAAATTAATAATTTTTGTCCTTGTCCTTTTTTTGTTTTTTTTTTTTGTTTTTTTGTTTTGTTTCTTTGGTTTTCTTCATCCTTGATAATAATTAATAACAATTCCATTTACGAAAAACAATAATGCCGATTTTTATATTCAGCCCCCTCTACCCCGGATAATGATCTTAAACATTTTTTTAAGTAAACTCTAAACATTTTAATTAACATTATTAATCATATTATTATTATTAATTTAATATTATTTTCATTTTGTTTATTCTCTTCGCGTAGAAGATTTTTGGAGAAAAAGTTTTTTCTATATTCGATCGAATATACGCGGGCCTTTTTTTCTTCTTCATCTTTTTTTTTCTATTTTTTTTACTTTTTTTTTGAAATATCTCTTAAAACGTAAGTTCTACACATCGATGTAACAATGTAATACGAGTTGTTTTTTTTTTTTTTTTCATAGTCAAAATTTTTATTTCGATAAAACCGTGTCGCGCATCGATTGTCTACCACGTAGAATTGTATTCTAAAATTGTTTAATATCGTAATTCACAATTTTAAATTACAAATAAAATCATTCAAACAAAATTTGTGAAAGAAAAAAGAATAAAAGAATCAAAAAAAAAACTATATATTGCATTAAATCGAAAGAATATTTTCTTTAAAAACACGCAAGAAGAAGAAGAAGTACAGATGATTTATATATACGAATTTTTTTATTATTTTATGCGCGACGATTATTATATACTCAATACTAAATTGATAATATATAATTTGCAATATTTATAAACACCTAAACACATTCGATCGATGATTTCTTAAATACGTTTGTCGAATTATTCCGATCATTATTCACGTAAAAGAGAGAAAGAATATCGAGATATTTATTTTTGCAATTATTTTTTCGTAATCAGAGAGGAAAAGCGCGTTTATTAATATCTTTTTTTTTATGTCAGAGAATCAAAAATAGAAAAAAACAACAACGAAAACAAAAAAATGGAAAAATTACGTATAATCTTAAATCACCGATTTTTCTTAGATTCCACGACGTTTTTTTTTCTTTTTTTTTCTTTTTTTTTTTTAAATCATTATTCTTATTTGTATAATATCTTTTTTTTTGTTTTTATCCTCGGTAATGTAATAATTTTTATTTATTTTATTTTTGTTTGTTTGTTTGTTTGTAAGGGGGGTGGCTTTCTACGGGCGCGCACTTTAACGAGAATTAAATCGCAATCTGCACGTCTCGCATTTGTAGAGGCATCTCCATTAATTGACTAGATTTTTATCGTTTCGCAATATTTGCTCTACAAATTTTGTCTTTAACTTTTCTATCTCTCTCTCTCTCTCTCTTCCTCCCTCCCTCCCTCCCTCCCTCTCACCCTCTCTTCTTCTCTTGATTTTTTTTTGTTATTTTATATTCCATCACCGTTTCATTTTTCTCTTCGTAGCGACAGCCATAGTAACTTTTAAGTTTCATTATTTAAATATTACTACACAACACTTAATTCAGCGTGATCTTACGATTTAGAATAGGCAACAATTAGTTTTTCAATTAGATATTTTTTTTTTTTTTCTTTTTTCTTTATATTATTTTTCTTTCATTTAATTTAAATATATATATATTAATGTATCGTTTTAAACAAACGAATCTCTTACGTTTCCTCGTTAATAATATTGATTAATTTTTTCTTGTCCTTCTTTTCTTTTTTTTTTCTTTTTTTTTTTTTTATTTTCCATTACTTCATTCGTTTCAATCCGTTTGATCATCATGACACACGTTCGTCAAGTGTTTGTGTGTGTGTGTTAATTTGCAATTAGGAAAAAAATGATTTTTAAACGTTTATTAAAATCTATTTTTATATTTGGCTCTAAAAAATTTTCTTACGAACGAGAAAAGCGAAATTTTTGTTGTTTTATTCGATTTGAAATGTTTCTTCGGAAATTACGTTTAACAAACGTAAAAAATATAGTTCATTTTCGGTCCTATCAGGATTCCCCCTCTCATTCTTTCTCATTCGTTCAATTTATTTTCTTTCAATTCTCATTTCCCTACTATATTTTCTCCAACAATATTTGATAATAGCGAGTTACGGTTTATCGAGATAACGTATTATCTAAGAAAAACATTTAACAAAATGTAATATCAATTTTAAAACTATATATAAATGAAAAATGTTATCCTTCAATCTCGTCCGTCTCCATTCTCTCGTTTTTTCCTTTAAAAAAAAAAAAAAACAAAAAAACAAAAAATAATAAAATCCAATAAATTTTCATAAAATTGTTAGCTGAATCCACAGAAAGAAAAAAAAAAGATATAAAAAAAAAACCAAGCCCAATAATTATAATCGTTTTTCTCTTGTATATCCTATTGCATATAGATTATACTTTTTTATTTTTTTTTTTGTTACCTTTTGTTAATTATTGTTTTTTACAAGCTATCGTATT